CGCGAAGTCGAGGCGTCACGATAAAGCGTTACGCCTACGCTTACGCGACGCCGAGGCGTCACGAAAAAGCGTTACGCTGACGCCAATTCGTCGGGGAACGCATCGTCATACCGTTTTTTTGGGACGCCTCGGCGTCGGCGTCGCGTAACGCTTTTTCGTAACACCTTGGCGTCGCGTAAGGCGTCCGCATAACGCTTTTTCGTGACGCGTCGGCGTGATGCTTCTTCGTGACGCCTCGGCGTCGCGTAACACGTTTTCGTGACGCGTCGGCGTAACGCTTGTTTGTGACACCTCGGCGTCGTGTAACGCGTCGGCATAACGCTTTTTCGTGATGCGTCGGCGTAGCGCTTTTTCGTGACACGTCAGCGTCGCGTAACGCTTTTTCGTCACGCCTTTGCGTCGCGTAACGAAAAAGCGTTACGCCGACGGCGACCGTAACGGTAGCCGTAACGCGTCGCCGTTGGCGTAACCGCGCGGTGCAGTATGGGAAACGTGCCATAATGCACCGCGGTGCCGCGCGTGTTTCATTATGGGACGTCTCCCACAATGCACCAAGCGAGAGGGAGGGGGAGGAGAAGGGGGAGGAGGGAGGAGGAGGAGGGACAAGGATGAAAAAGAGGCAGGAGGAAGAGGGCGCCCGCCTGACAGCTCCCCCCGCCTCCCCTCTACCTACGTCACTGGTGTATGAAAATCTCAAAATAACCCGCTGTTACTGAGCCCCGCAACTCGACCAAAGCTTCCGTCAAAAAAAGAAATACAAATAATTTTTAGGCAAAACATAAAAACTCAAAACAAATATCCAATAATTAATTAAGATATTGCGTATCCATATAAAAAAAATCAATTTAAATTAAGATGTCGAACACCCTGTTCCTTTTTTTTCTTTTTTGCACATAAGTTGACGTAGATTTGAGTCAGTAAACAAAGGTTATCATGGAACGTATAACAGGAGAAGCTGGGACATTATGTCTGCTCGCCCAAAAAATTGACTTCAAACTGCGTAGAGAACAAGATAACTCTAGTAAAGGCTGGCCACGGTAGCGACACCGGCCACCGAAATATAAACTGCAGTACAGTTGGGACGAAACCGAAACTATATGCCGCAGTCGTATGCTTGTCCGATCCAAAGCCACAGCCAATCCAAAGTCTAATCCAAAGCCACAAGCAGCTTCTGGAGTCTGGATTCCTTTCCGTCCCGTCCGTGCAGACAAAGGCCTGTTTGAACCTCCAACGCCTTCAACGTGCGTGGGTTAAATGATTGTTTAGGTAAGTTTTCTCGATTTCATATTCATAATGCGTGCCCGAAGAGTATCATCTACATGTGCTGGATGATCTTCCGAGCACTGTAGCTTACGTTGCCACCGTAATTCGGATGATATTTAACTTTTTTTTGACGCTTGAGCGGTCTCCGCGATTTCGTGTCGCATCGCAGTTCTGAGGGATGCTGGCTGCCTTCGGGAAACGATCGCTATCGCCGAAGCCGGGTCCATATCAGAAGAGCGAATGACATTTTAGAGAACGGCGACATTTGAGCGAATGGTCGTTTTAGCGAATAACGGGGACGCGCGTTAACCCATCCGTCGCGCTGCGCTTTACGCCGCTTCGCGGCAACAGTCTGCGGCAACTCATTGCAAAAATATGAACTCACTTGGCCCACCTGAAAACGCCGCTTCGCGGCGTCCGACTATTCGCTAAAGTGTCGTTCGATGAAACGTGGCCGTTCGCTAAAACGTCATTCGATCAAGTGAGTGCCTCCCGCCGAAGCCTTGCGTTAATGCTAGCCGCTATCTTGAGAATCCCGTGAATGTTCTGCGATACCGGAGCACTGTAGAGACGCTGATCAGATTGTTTCGAAAGTTCGCATTGCTGTCGGCGAGCCCTTCGGACACGCTTTATGTGCCAGGCGCACTAAACTGAGCTGTGTTGTCAAACGCTTGGGTACGGATCTTAGAACGAACGCCCTGAATGTGTTCGGGACGGCGACACGCGTCAAGAATTGCATGGTTTTTACTTTGGCGTGTCGTCTCGTCCTTTCTCACGCTTGCGACAGCGTATCTCGGTCAGCGCGCGGTGGCTTTTTGAGCTGCGTCCAGCGGGATGGCGCGGTTGGGGTGCTGGCGTTTAGCGGGTTTCAGCGAGTTGTTAGAACACGCTCCAAGCTGGGCGTCGTCGTAGCGCTCGCGTACGGCGTGTGCCCCGCGCCGGCCTGCTCTGCGTGTCGTCGGTGTTCAGGCGCGCGGGCCTAGAGTTGCTTAAAAGTGTCGACAGGACTCTGTTAAGCTCGTCACTTCCGTGGTTTTCTCCCTTCCGGGCCATGCATATATGTCTAGCCTTGCGAGTCACCCAGAGTACTACTACTGTAGCTAATAAAGGCTATTATTGTTTGTTTTAATGGCGTTTTAGTTTACCCCGGTCATATTCGTGACTTCCATAACCCGGGGGGTGCACACATGCTTTACATGGCTGAGGAAGGAGGTTATATATAAGCAGTGATAGATTGCAGGCGAGCTGGTAATTAATCGACATCTTGTAAACCCTGAGATGTTCGTTCGTTTTTTTAGCGTTCCCCATCTCAGGGTTTACAAGATGTGGTTATACGATTTGATTAAAATGCTCAAGAAAGTTGCAGTCTAAAAATCGCACACCTGGCAGGTGCTCTCGCTTGTATATTGGACAGCTCGCAATGAAAACTCGCACGGCTGTCGCTTTTCGCACTCCGAAAACGGAAGCTTTGCCATGGTCAGCACATTAAGATTCTGTGGTGCTTAGCCGGTGGGGACAGTAATGTAGGAAGGGGGAGGGGGGGCGGCAAGCAAACAATTTTCAAGATGCAATTGCTTCCCCACCCCCCCCCCACGCACACACACACAGATGTTCAAAACTGCCGCTGCTGCCGCACCCAAAACAGCCATCACATCTATCGTCTACTTACAAACGTGCACATCATTCTATTAAAAAAAACAAAAACAAAAAATCTACAGTAACAAATGGCCGGGGACCAGTGGCGTACCAACTTGTTTTTGTGTGAGGGGGCAAACGACCCCCCCCCCCCCCCCCCGAGCCGGGGGGGCGGTGCCCTTGGTATCCATTCGGCGCCGCCGGCCGGTGTTTGCCCTGCCCAGTGCCGGCTGTTCAAGGGGGGGGGGGGGGCTGGAAAGCACATTCCGTGCCCCTCACCCTGAGAACTAGGGGGCTGGCACCTCCCTTGCCCCCCCTGGTCGGTACGCCCATGCCAGGGACTTTTCAAGCATTCCCTCATCTAGTAGTGTTGAAAATGTTCAGAAGACGTGTATAGTCTTGTGCTGAGGTCATGGGGGCAGTTGCATAGGAAAGGGGGGTTCTTTTTAATAATAATATTGTTTACTGGAAATGACTGATTTTCCTGCAGCCCCCCCCCCCCTTTTCCTACGTCACTGCCCCCATCACCTAAGCACAAGACAATACACGTCAGAAATTGTACACTGCTCTAGTTTCTTTTTTTTCTTTCGTCAATAAAAATATTTAACCCTACAAAAAATTATCGCCAGAACTTTTTTACTTTTCTTTCCTTTCTTTTTTTTTTGGGTGGGGTGGGGGGATGTGTTTGGGATTCTCTAAATTTTTGGAGTGGGTACAAGATAGCCACCCCTTTCCCCTAACCCCTCCCTCCCCCTGCGACTACACATACTTTGATCGCCTGTGTCCGATCCCCGTGGCGTGAGTACCGTTTAATCTGAAGTGCACCACCCAATGCTAATTATTTTTTTTTAATAAAAGCAAAAACATTTGCTTGAAATTATTATAATTATGAAACCAGAACCACCAATATTTTTATAAACTCATCGAGGCTCAAAGCCAGTGTCATTCACAACACAAAGTTGAGAACTTCTAAACCACTCTGTTCATAGTGCGACAAAATCGCACCACACGCGAAGTGCAGATAAATAAAATCCAACACACTCAACGGCTTCGTGCCAACGCCTTCGTACCCTAATCTCCTAGTACCCCCGTACAGCGTCCGCGCCTCCGCACGCAATCTGGACTCACACTAGAGTCTACTCACACACTTTGAGTGCGGATAAGAATCCAACACAGTCCGCACTCGGAGTGCGGATAAGAATCCAAAATTATTCACACTCAGAGTGCGGATTAGAATCCACCACTATCCACACTCGGTGTGCGAATAGGGACAGCCGCAAGCCAACTCCCACACCTGCCAGGCGCTCTCGCTTGTACAGTGGAGACACATTCAAATCAAGGAGTTCCAGCTTTGAATGTGAAGGCTTCCTACTTCAACTTTTAAATAATTGAGGTTCTGTTAAAGTTGAAAGGAGTCTCTTAAAGCATTTTTGGAACCATGTCCAGAACCCAGTGCTGGGTACAATTTTAGTCTAAAAGGCTGGTCCACACTGTTGCTACCCGCTAGGACTGAGTCTGACAAATCCAGTCTTCAAGCCTCTTGTGACAGCTTATGATCGTGCTGCGCAGCAGCAATGTTATTCGTAAGCAACTTAAAACCTTGTTTTGTTCAACTTGGTCATAGTCGGTTGCAACAGTGTGAACCGGCTTTAACACCTTAGGTGAATGTAATCAACAGTAGCTTCAGGATAAACTTGCGCACTGTACTACCCCAAAGTATTTTGACAACATCTCCGGTGTTGATTCTTGATTTCTATCCCAGCACTACAGAACACGTCAAAAGGCTTGTTGATTGCTGTGCATGTGCCTATCAAGCGAGCTGTGCTATTTCTAGGTGGTGTTTAATTTGTTTTGAAGTTCCCGGGATCTTTTAAGGCACCGGCAGGTATCTAAGCTCCACATGCACACTGTTCTTAATACAATTACTTCATGCAGAAGTTAATTTTTCTTATTTGGTTGAGTTTAATGGTGGTGTCGTCATGGTCTTTGCACTGTCGACGACAAGAGAAGCGTCATGTTGCACTTGTTCTTTTGTTGATCCGTGAAGCAAGTTCTGGTTTCTTTTTTGTTCCAGAATGTCAGTCTGAGTCTTATTCATGATGTTGCAGGAAGTTTGTATGATGACGAAAAAACTGCAGGTGACTAGAAGCTGCCGATGTGCTGCCAGTCCGGATGGCAGCTATCAACACGGCAAGGGCCTGCAGGCGCATCAGCCCTCCACCCGTTCCTCTACTGCCATTGGAGACAGGATGCTTTGTAAAGGGTGAAACAGGGCCCTTGCACTGCTTCCACAGTGCCCTGCTGGATTTATCTCACATTTTGATTTTCAAAACAAACAACATGACAAACTGTAAAATACCGAACAAACGCCCACTCTAAATTGGAGATAATCATAGAGAGCCCGGGGTTGAGCACGTGGTAGGTACGATAGTTGGTAAGTGTTCATGGTCCTTTGCTTGGTCTGTGCACGGAATTACGAACAGCTGCATTTACGGAACTAGTTAATTACGCAAACACAAAAAAACAAAGCGTGATGTTTTTTTTCTTTTTTTACAAAGAAGCATTTTGAAAAGTGTTCGATTAGCATTGGATGTTACTAAAGCCTTCAATTTACTCTTCTGAGTTAGAACAAAAGAGCAACCCATCTTTTCTTGTACACCACTTTCTGTGGCAATTAAAAGAAAGCTAGGGGGGGGGGGGGCAGGCAGGCAGGCAGGCAGGTGCAAATGGCTCTGTGTTAGCGCACAACGTAGTTCTGAACTTTTCTTGGTCTCGGTTTGAGTTTGGGTTTTGGCATGTCAACCACGCAGTTGCTAGAGTGCATCTTTTTTGTACGAGGATTGCAGTTGAGGGAGTGGAATTGGGATTGCCCAGCATGGCAGGCACATTCACATCTCTTTACTTTCGGGTTACCCTGCACTGCCCGAAGGCATCATTGTAAAGGGGGTGAGGGGAGGGGAGGAATGTAGTCAGTCGTAAAGGTAGAAATACGCCCGTGCATATGTACAAAAAAAAAGAACAAGAAATGCGGGCACACAGGTAAACACATTCAAAAACAAAAGCCAGCCCAGAATAAGATAAAAGCCACATTGGTTGCTCACATTCTACAGTCGGTGACAGGTCAATAGGGAAGTGGAGGCTGCTCCCACCTTTTTCCACTATAGCAGAGTGAACCCTGGAGAGGAGGCGCCCTCCTTTCCAGCGTTTGCTCTGCTAAAGGGGAAAGAGGTGGGAGGAGCTTTCACTTCATTCTTGACCTGTCACCGACTATAGGTACCTGCCAACGTTCCTTGTTTTTGGACGTAAGCCAACACTTTGACCAGTAGGATGAATTGGGCTGTTGTATATTGGGTGTATCAAGGAGTAGCCAGGTTATTTAAATCGACTGCAAAATTCGGTTTCTTAACCTATCGCACTACGGCTTTGTGCAGCGTTGCTCAGGGATGGTGCATTTTTTTTGTAAAATTTGCAAAGAGCGAACATACCTGAGGAAAAAGTAAAGAAAGAAAAAGGCTTAGCTCCTGTAGAAATGCGATGAAGCCAAAAGTCTTCAAACCATATGGCGGCGTTTCACTTTAGAAACAAAAGATGGCGCAAGGTGTCACGATGCCAACTGCGCCAACGTACGAGCATACGGCGCCGAAAGCTGGCGTCTTTAGCAGACAATCTTTTCGACTCAAAAGTGGCACGAGCTTTTCTGATATCAGTTGCCAATGCATTATTTTATTATCCTTACTGATAAAACATACTAATGGACACATAATCGATTAGAAAAGTGGTTTGTTGGGATATTTTGACTGTTTTTTTCGGAGTACCGATTTAATTTTGCTTTGCAATTCCTTGTTACCGCGCCTGTTTTTGTTTCTGCGACTATCGCCGCCTGCGGAATGCACTCTACTTTTGAGTTGAAAAGATTGTCTGCTAAAGACGCCAGTTTCGGTGCCGTATGTTCGTTCGTTGGCGCAGTTAGCATTGTGGCTGCTTGCGCCATCTCTTGTCTCCCGTTCGAAATGGTGCCGTATTGTTTGAAAACCTTTGCGTTCGCCGCATTTCCATAGGAGCTAAGCCTTTTTCTTTCTTTACTTTTTCCTCAAGTAAGTTTGCTCTTTGCAAATTTTACAAAAAAGTGCACCATCTGTGGGCAACGCTGCACAAGTCATAGCGCGATAGGTTAAGAAACTGAATTTTCCGGTCAATTTAAAGAGCCTGGCCACTCCTTGATACACCCAGTAGTTACCACATCTGTGTGCAGGTCAGTCATGCAGTTGTTAATGACCATTGGTACCCAACTCAACCTCGTGCAGGGTGTCTATGAACTGGAAAAATGGTAATGTTGAGGAAGTTCGCAATTGCAAAAGCCTGAAGATTTCCACCCTAATCACCATCGATCAGGAATATTCAGCCTTCCTTTGTCTGAATGTCAGCAAAAGACACGTGTGGTGTGACTCATAAACCTTCCTACTCAGGAACTCAGCCAGCTTGCCAATGTAAACCTCTGCTTGGAAACTATAGAGTCTTGGGAGAATACAGAGATACAATTTCATCTCGAAATGTATGAAAAGCACAAACTTCTGTACTCTAAATGAAGTGCTGGGCTTATGCCAGTGCTGCTTATGGCAGTGCTGCTTATGGCAGATTTGTGGAATGGTTTCATAGTGCGACAGGTTGTCTCTAGAGCTACCCATTTGCTCCTGAATGGACTTTCCATGGGATTTTTTTACAGGCTGTGAACATCATGGCTATTGATGAGGTAGTTTCTGCTGCGGGGAAGAGAATATCCGTAAGCTTGACAGTCCACAGAAGCTTTAGCAGCCAGGATTTTGAATGTTGCGAGAGCAATGACGTTTGCCTTTAGCTCACATTTTTTGCCAGAAGTTGTACAACCAACCGCCAGGGTTGTCTCATCCGACAGCAGGACATGGCGGCTACTGTGGCGTCATTTAATTCTGTCGCTCAGAGACCACCTTTAATGAGTGGGTGGTATAGAATGCTAGAACGCAGAGGTGCATTCCAGACACCATGCTGTAGCATCTGCTGCTGGGATGTTCTGATTGGTTCTCATTGCAGTCATTCCAATTTTCAGATTGTTTCTTTTCTTCAGTGGGAGCTCGTAAAGGTGGCACTGTGCACAGAGGGACAGAGCGGCTGACAGTGAGCTGCCCAAGACAACCTCCTGGCTCTCGTGACCATCTCCGAAAGCCTCTGGATGGGCTAATTGACAGGCGTGCCTGGACCTTTATAAACGGTAAACACAATCTAGACTACCTTTGAATTACGCCTTGGTCTAACTGCTGTTGCCAGGATACCGTGTTTGGCTGCTAGAATTGAACTGGGTATGCTAAGCGGCACATGTTACCAAGTAGGGACACGCTGGGACGCTTATCCACAAATTGTACTTCCCAGTCCATGAGCCACCAAAGACCCAGCCAAAGAGATCCCGAGTCAAGTCAAAGTTTTCTGTTAATCTTGCTAGTAGCAGCGTCGTAGTCGTTAATTAAAATGTCGGCGTTGCCCCGCTCATTGCGGCACACCGAGCAAAGCAGAGCGAAAGAACGGAGGTAAAGACTACCAAAAGTGACGTCATTAGCAGGGTCCAACAACCCTTGCTTGCCAATAGGCTGACTTGGGGATGCCAACGATGATGTCACGAAGCTTTGGACAGGTTACATGTGGAAGAAAGGCTCAGTGCATGCCCTGCTATAATTGCTGCACATATTCAAAATAAATGCAGTTTACGTTGACTTTTGCCCAAGTTTAGTGCAATTACTGAATTAACGAGCCAAAATGCTCTGTAAGTCTGCTCCTAACTCAGATTTCTTACAAAGTGCTTCAAGCTCCCTTTAATGCTAGTCTGACTTATTTGCAGAAGCCTGTGCCAGTGCACAAACTAGAGCCTATACATTGCTGTACTATTTTACATTTAATGCACTGCCAAAGGAAAAGGTTCAGATACAATTAAGCCCAAGAAGCTAAACCATTAATTTGAATGCGATATGCAGTAGACTCTCATTATTTCAAACTCCAGGAAGCCACGAATTTTGCATGAATTATCAAAAGCTCAAATTATCAGAAGTTAATCTAAATATGTTGCAAGATAAATTATGATTTTCTATACGGATGGCTACACATACAAAACAGATATTTCATGATTTCCTCTGCACAGGCCAATTAATCATAAGCTGGTATGCCATTCATGTAAATTGGTAAAATTTATGACACAAGTTTATTCGACCCTCAAAAATGTTGTTTATCAGGGACTGTTTAGACATCACATGACACCTCAAAACAAAATTAAGTTTGTTCAACCAGAAAAAAAGTTGTCTATTAGGGACTGTTAAGCAGGGACCCATGAGAAATGGAAACGGGCATTGTGCTGCAGTTTCTATAGCAACTTGCGTGAACACTGCTGTATAAAGTCATGCCGCCACATCACAGCATCCTTGCAAATTGATATGGAAACTGCTGCGCGGCGCCCGTTTTTGCCGCTCATGTGTCCTCTGCTTCAGAGACGTATATAGAGATAGTTTAACCATTAATTTGGATGTATAGAAGGCAAATGAGGAGGCGCCTTTCGCTTAAGGTGGGCGTGTTCCAGAGCATTTTCACAAATTCGTATGGGGCCAACCAGCAGCCGTGCATAATATCCTGGCAGTGGTTGTGAGAAACAAAATTAATGAGCTCGTCGGAGTAACTCTTGGTGACTGGGGTGCAGTTATGTTTTGATCGTGGTCATGCAAAATCACGGTGGAAGATATAGAAAATATAAAAAAATGTGCGCAAACAGCTGAACGATTGACGTAATCCGTACACAGGCGTCGAAGCGGTCAGACTCCATTTGAGCAAAACATAAATCAAGCGGAACATTAGTTTCCTGCATCTACTTGCATAACCATAATCGAAACAGTGCGTGCACCACATTTTCAACCATGGAGAGCTACTACAATTAACTCTTAGGCACATATCAAAACCGTTTCTCGCTACCATAGCTAGGGGATTATTTTCAGCTTCTGGTTGGCCAAGAGAGATTGTCGAACCCTCTATCTGCGTCTGATGCAAACCTTGGCTCTGCTTGCTCCTTTCATATACCAAGATCTATATGTACGGCTCTGCTCTGCTTTAGCCCTGTAGAGTGTGCTTTTTACTGAGCACCAGTGCACCGCAGGAAAACAAGGCCTGTGAAGCTTGCTTTCTCAGGCCTTGTTTTCCTGCGGTGCACTGGTGCTCAGTAAAAAGCACACTCTACAGGGCTAAAGCAGAGCACCGGTGCTCGGAAAGCAGAGCACCGGTGCTGCTTCTCCGCAGTGCACCGGTGCTCGGAAAGAAGTGCGCTCAACGGGGCCGCGAGAACAAGAAGTATGAGTTACACGAAAACGTCGTTCACATTAAGCGCCTTATGAATACATTGAAAACGTAGCAGGGCAGCCCAAGTTTTGAAATTTGTTTGACTTAACCAGAGGTATTAAATCTCCGACTTTGAATTATTGCGAGCCTACTGTATACTCTAAAGGAGATATGGCTCACTTGATTGTGCTTAATATCACTGAATGGTTATGCAAATTTTAATTTGCTAGTTTTATTTCTCAACCACTTGTTGTGTTGGGTATTGAAATCAATGCAAATTTTTACTTTGGTTCAATTTATGGGAGGTTTGTTTTATATATCATGTGCAGTAAAGGTGGGGACCTGGGCTAGGTAGTAAACACGTTGCTTGCTGATGTTAACCATGTATGTCATATACAGCTTGTTGTGATTGTGTATTGATTTTGAATCCTCTTCTGCTCTTTATTTCAGGCTGCTCTTAAATGCACCATGAAGATATTGAAGAGGTCTCCAATTGAAGGACAACTATAAGCACAAGCATGGAGGGGCTTCTAGATGGCGAGCGCAAGGACAACTGTAATGTAAAATTTCTCCCAACTTAAAGCAGGCATGCCTTCTTCCAATAAAGGCTTTGTGGCAAAACTTCTTAATTGGTTCGTTTGTTCAGCTGTCATCTCTACGAACAGCTGATCTCACACAAACAAAATCCTGGCAATGAGTAGTAGAGGTTGTGTGCTTTTTTTTCTTGTTGAACTCTTGTTGTTTTGTGTAAGGATAAAAAATATACAAGTTAGTATATTCAATGACAGAGCCTATGAACTCTCCATACCAATCCATACCCCAAAAGTTTCATGTGACTTCGGCTTGCTTGAACATGGAAGCTGTTTGCACTAAATAACGGAGCACTAGACCTTTCTGTCTTCTTGAAGCTCATAGCTACGAGCCATCCGCACCAATCCTGCACCTCCGATACGTCAGGTGACACCCCTGGCAAAGGTATAGCCCTTCCAGGGGAGTCGCCTGATGTATCGGAGGTGCGGGTGGTACTGATGGCTCGTAACTTTGGCCTTATCTAAGGCCGAAAGGTATAGTGCTTTATTATTTAGTGCCGACAGCTTTCATAATTCCTACGGATAGCCCTCCGTAGTGAGCTACAGACATTCCGTCATTTTACGAAATTATGTGCCTTGTCTTTACGGACTGTCCAGTTTCTAGATTACGGGAAATCTTGCCGGCAATATAAAACCAGCAACTTTTACCAATAAAATGGGAAAACGAATAACTGTCTGTTGAGTGGAATTTAGATGTTCCGTCATTTTACAAAATTATATGCCTTGTTTTTAACAGACTGTTCGGTTTCTAGATTACGGGAAACCATGCTGGCACTATGGAACCCGCAACTTTTACCTATAATATTGAGTGAAATTTTTTTGCCGTGCTCCCATACCCCTCGTCCAAGTCGAAGATGGTCAGACATCTCCGATTCCCACTAAAATGAAGCATCCGTTTCCATTGAAAATAAAGAGTTTCACATTTGATGTCGTAGTACGTCATTCGCATTCTTACGTGTTTCAAGAGGACATTTAAATCCCAAAATGGTTCAACGGTAACGGCCACAAAACATTTTGAAAAACGGCTGTAAAACGGTTTCGAAAGACGGCCGAAAAACGGTTGACGACATCGGTCACAAAACGGTTGGCGATATCGGTCTCAAAACTTTCCCCGTGATCGGTTCAAGTTATTGGACCGATCTGGAGCCGGGGTGCAAATCATTATTGGACCGTTATTTTCTAAAACTTTGACCGATATTTGTCCGTTATTGGTCCAATATATTTGTGCTGCCTGGGGCGAAGCCGGCATCAACGGACGGTATGAGCTGTCATACCCCGTCCACGAGCATCAACAAAAGGTGGAACCAAAGAACGATGCTTTGAACGAAGGGAATGCTGATGATCTTCACCTCTTCTCCAAATATAAGCTGGTGGAAGAACCAAGGTCTCGTCATTTGCTATGCAGTGGACCGAAATGCAATTCATCCGCAGACTTCTAGACGACAACGCGACTCGGCGAGGAGCTGAAGGCACGGTGGAAACCCTCACGTCCGTTTGCGAGACTTGCAACGAACAGCAAGCTCGTAATGAGGAGCTCTCCACAGTCTACGACAACGGGTTGGGAGGGAGACCATCTGTGGATGCGTTACAAACGACACCACAACCTCCCGGCCCGGGGAGATCACCCGCGCAGATGGATCATGCAATGCTAATCTATCTGAGAACTCCAGCACTGAACGCGTCGAACAACATCAAAGTAATCTTGAAAAAATACTTTGAGCCGCACAGCCTGTGACTGGGTGAAGTTTCAGTGCGAGAAATCAGAGGAGTGGCAGTACTATCATCATCAGCTAAAGGACTGCAGAATCTCCAGGACGCGATCGAAATTCACCCAAGCACCAATGATCTGTTCGTGCTTAAAAAACCGACAAAACGTCGACCACAATCCCCTGTCTCGGGCGTCGACCCCGACATTCTATCTGCGGAATTCTTCACAAAACTTCAAAGTCAAAACCCAGAGATCGAAATTGAACCTTCGGACTTCAGTCGCCGGATTTCATTCAAAGAAAAATCGGGGAACAACACTCACATCTTTGAAGTGAGCGCCAAGGTCTACAAGAAACTAAAAGAAACAAACAAACTGCGCCTAGGCTGGACTTCCTGCTCCGTAACAGAGAGCTTCTATGTCCCCAGGTGCGACAAATGCTGCACCTACGGACATACAAAAGCAAAATGTGCATCACAGATGATCTTCTGCTCCATCTGTGCGGGCAACCACCCAGCACAGGAGTGCAGAATAACAAACTATAAGGAGGGTAAATGCCGCGCATGTATCAACCGAAGGGTCAATGCCAACCACCCTTTTGGAGCGAGCGAATGCGGTACACACGCCTTCCACGTTTCACAACTCCGGTCTCGGACAGATTACCCAAAATAAGCAAACACAAAACTAATATTAACAAACAACATTACAATCGAAAAAAAAAGGAATTAAAAAGGAACAACCCGAGTAAAGCCTATAAAGAGAAAACGCTTCATACAAACAAAACAAAACATAAGTTGACCGATGATCAATAAATTAGAGATCTTACAAATCAACTTGGGGAGATCAAGGGCTGCAACTGTTAATCTGGTTAATATATACACTGAAAATAACGCTGAATTTATTTTAATTCAAGAACCATATGTTTTCAATAACCACATTACAAGTATTCCAAACTCAGAACCATTTTTTCACTGCCCCTTAGATCCCAAATGCGCCATTATAGTTAGAGACCGATCTTGTTCAATCTTTCCAAAGATACTTGAAAACGATCTAATAGTCTTGCAATGTACATACTCAAACAAAACAGTAACAATAATAAATGTCTACATATCTCCTACAGCTTCATTTAATACATTCCTAACACGTCTTGAGTCAATCATAACAATAGACAAAAACGACATAATCATAGCCGGAGATTTTAATGCAAGACACACCAATTGGGGGGACAAAATAGATGATGACCGAGGGGAACAATTAAATAATTTTGTACTAACACATGATCTTGTCATATTAAACGACCAACACTCTATTCCTACATTCTCTACAGTAAACGGAGAAAGTTGGATAGACCTTTCAATCATAACCCCTTCTCTAGCTCATAACGTTACACATTGGGAAGTATTAGAAACTGATAGTTTAAGTGATCATAACTTTATTGCCTTTGGATTCTTCAATCAAAAGCAAACCATGCAAAAAAGATTAACATTAAAAAGCTACTCAAAAATAGAATTACTTATAAAACAAGATGATTGGTTTAAGACCTGGGTACCTAAACACTATTCACCAGAATGGATAGATCACTTATTAGATATACTATACAAAAAATTCTTAATTTGCATAAAAAGGTGTGAACGAAACGTTCGATCCGGAAATCGCACGGTCCCTTGGTGGTCAGTTGATCTACAGATCATGAGATCTAAATCTAATGCACTAAGAAGAAGGTACCAAATATCATATAACACAGATATTAGATCACTGCAAAAACGAATTTATTACGACTACAGAGCTACATACAAGGAAGCCATCCTTCATGCTAAAATTTCAGCTTGGCAGGAATCATGTTCCGCTACCACAAAAAAGTCTCTCTTCGGAATCCTATATAAACTTGCATTTAATAAGAGGAGGTCACCCCTAATTCTTCCACCGATATTGAGAGCAGATAATACTTTAACTTCTTCATTTAATGAATCAGTTCAATATATTTTAGATACGGTGTTCCCAACGGACGGCATTACAAAAGACTCACCATATATAACTAGCTTACGACAATACTTATGCACTCCCTCATTCTCTCCACCAGATTTTGAACTAACATTTCAAGAAATATCAAACATAATAACTAAACTACGACTTAAAACCGCCCCCGGATTAGACAAAATCAATGTTACTTTTCTTAAATATTTTTGGCATAACCATCCCGATTTTTTCCTGGCTCTATTCAACTCCTGTCTAACATCTGGATATTTTCCAAAGGAGTGGAAGAAAGGGAAAATACTACTGCTAAATAAAAAAGATAACGACAAAGCAAAACCCAACGCCTATCGCCCAATTTGCCTAAATTCCATACTCGGAAAAGTTTTAGAACGTGCACTCTATAGCAGATTATATTTCTCCCTTAACTCAAAAAACTATTACACCCTCGACAATTCGGGTTCACACATATTAAATCATCTACACAAGCTCTGTTCACACTTACTACACATCTACAAAAACTAAAAAATAAATCAACAGCGGTAGCTATGGTATCACTACACTTTACAGGAGCATTTAACACACTATGTTATCCGGTAGTTTTGGCCTATTTAAAACACCATTCTTGCCCAAGTAATCTATACAATCTGCTATATTCATTCTTCCACGATAGAACCGTCACATATATCACTCCAGAAAAACAAGAAATAAACAAACCAATTAATATGGGATGCCCCCAGGGCTCTCCACTAAGCCCCTTACTATGGAATATATTACTATCAGGATTACTAGAAAGAACCTTTCCGAATCACATATATCTACAAGCGTTTGCAGATGACATCGTAGTTGTCATAGAAGGGAACTCAAGAAGAGAATTAGAAGAAAGAACTATCGAAATACTGCAAGAAATAGGACAGTGGACATCCGAACGTAAACTATATTTGAACTACTCGAAATGTAAATGTCTAATAATAACTAGAGGAGAACTATATGAAAAAAGACCCCCAATAATAAAATTTCACGATCATAAGTTAGAAATAGTGAAACAACTTAAAATTTTAGGAGTCATTTATGACTCACATTTAACCTTCTTACCACACCTTCAATATATAAAACAGAAAGTTCAAATCCATACAGCCAACATCTCAAAAATATACTCAACAAATTGGGGTATCACATCAAGCCAACTACGGGAAATATACTTACGAAGCATAGAAAGATATATAGTGTATGGATCACCCGCGTGGTGGAGACCATCAGGAAATTCACATATGTTAAGACAACTGCAATCCATACAAAGGTTACCATTACTTAAAATAGCAAGAGCGTTCCGCACAGTTTCTAACATAAGCCTGCCTGTACTATGTAATATCATCCCAATCAACATTACTCTTGACGTAGAATCATTTATGTTTAATGTCTTCCAACTTAAGATACCCGCACAATTCGATAGCTTTAGTATCTCCCCCACAGAGGTATCGTATCCTATAGATCTTTGGAAAACTCATCCAACAAAGAGATTCAATATATCATTCCAAAGAATCAATTCTGGGTGATTTCAGATAAGATCGACCAAAGGGTGGCTGGTCGACATTTTTAAATCAACTGATGTTTTTATATGACATTGTCTAGTGTCTGGTATAAACGAATCCACACTTAGTTTTGACCAGAAAAAAAATTTGGAGACAAGAAAAATCGTAAGGCAGGGAGAGGTGGACAGTTGCAATAACGCGCACTGATGGAGGGGGCAAGTTTTAAAGTGAATAATTAAAACAATAAAATTAAGAGAATTTTAAAACTTTTTACAAACAAACTATGGGGACAGCTTGCTTGTAATATAAAGTAATAATATTTATTAAAAATTTATTTAGTTTTCTAAAAATTGCCAAACATGCCTGCTCGAACGACAAATGGCAAACTTTGGAAATCTGTATCTCATGAAATAATTTAATCATTATTATATAACTTGCAGACATTATTTTACTAATATATGGCTATTATTGAAAAAATAAATAACGTATCTGAGTGACACAATAGTTGCAATATATTTAGGCAAACATGGGAAAAAAATCAAACAAAGAAAAATTCCAATGCGAATAAAAAAAAACAATACCTTCGATTTTTTTTAAATTTGGGTACCCTGTTATACTTTATTTCGGCATTCATTTCTATTAAAAACATGTTGCATCATTGCACTGTGAAAGAAGAAACAACTCCCCAAAGTAGGGTCCTTTTTCAAAGCCTACACTTAGCAGTGTCCTATACAAGAAGTGACTCTGAGTTCCAGTTTCATGAAACTTGCACAAATCTTTTATATACATTTATTCAGATGAGGTCATTGATAAAAAGAGCGATCGGTCACACAGTAAAAGGGAGGAGAAACTATATACAGCATTTTACATAAGCGTACTAAGTGGTATCCCAAGTAGCACAACACGCCGGGTTGGGGATGGGGCGGTATTGGCCTGCCGGGATAGCGATACCGGCCAGTACCGGAAACGCCCCAAGGGGCGACATCGGCCGGGCCCAATGCCGGAATCCGGCCGGTACCGGGACCTTATTGGGAAACCGGGATGCCGGGAATACGGGATGTTCCCAGCGAGCTCCCGACACAGATCCCCGGCATGGAACCGGTGGTACGGTAGGAAACCATCAGTGTGCCAGCGTGATTCCGGGTCAGAGCCAGTCCAATTGCGGATTAGTCCCAGCGTAAAAACAGATCAGAGCCAGCGTAATTGCGGGTCAGTGCCTGCGAAATTGCAGATCAGCACCAGCGTATGCGTCATTCAGTGTACCCAGCATAGAACCAGCAAAATGCTAGCTGTGTCAGGCTTTAAAGCCCAGGAATGACATCCTACTGCATTTTTGAACAGCCAACTTCTCAGTAGATCTAATTGACTTAAACGTGGAAATGCTAAATTTCTCAGTCCAAACCATTTTATTGGTTTTCATATCTTTTATAGGTGCTGACCGTTTTTAACATGTTTTTCGGACTTGAACTAAAAAAAGCCGGTTTAGTATTTGTGCAATTTTAAGAAACAATTCTGTGTGAACAATTGACTTTCTCCATGTATACAGTATACTCATGGCAATTACTGTATACTCGTTGAGACGACATGTCCCATTCATCTGTCGCCCAGATGCATATTGTGGTTAGTACAAGAAGGGAACATACAAAATGTTTTTTACCGTGACATTCTTTATTGTGACTCGTGCATCCATAGCAGCTAGCTCCTCAGCCAGAGTGTCCCTCATCGTCAAAGGCGGTTGGAACCACCAGTGGAGTGTCCGTCTTTTTAACTCTATTGCCCTTGCCCGCCTCCCTGGCCGTCAACCACTTCTGCAGCGCGTCCACGCTGCACGAGTGCGACTTTGTATGGCACCTGTAAAGAGAATTGTCAGATCACACAGATTAGTTGAGGGATAGGCGAAGCCAATATCTTGCATACTAGCTACACACAAGGTGCTGTTCAAACACTGCAGTTTGCGAGCGTTTCCTTTGTGTAAATATGGGTCCCTCACCTAGCCTGCAATTCAAAGGTGACAGAAAGAGAGCACCACACAGGTGGAGATTGTGGGTTTGGCTACCACGCTAAGGTGCAGATTCTACGGAGGCATATGGCTATTTCACGCAACATCCTATTAATCTGAAATGGGGATCGAGACGGGGTGGGGTGCAGAGATGAGTGGCTAAAAAAGAGCAAAACTTCCCCAACTGACACTCTACCAGGGTTGGGCAGTATCGCGATACAAATGTATCGCGATAGTATTTCAGAAATACATTTCGTATCTGTATTTCTGTATCGCGATACATTATTTTCACCACTATCTGTATTCCTGTATCGAAATACATTTGTAATGTTTCTTTGTATCGCGATACAATCAGGATGAAATGTATTTCGTTACTTTTCTTGAGAAATACTCCCCACCCCCCTTCCCGAAAAAAAAAAAAAAAGAAACAAGTCCGTACGCATTTTTTTTTTTTTTTTACTGCTGAGGGCATCAGAGTCAAGGAGATGCTGGGGCATTGTTACTATGCTGACCAAGGTTCCTTTTGATTCTGCAAACTATTTTTCTATGCGTCCTCTTCTCTCTTCTGAGAAGTGTTGCGTAGTCGGGGACTCGAACCAGGTGGCGTGCCAGGAGTGGAGTCAGTGCATCTTCTGCCGCAGGTCCTTAGGTAGGGATTTCTTGAGTCATTGTTTGCTGGCATCCAATGCCCGCTGCTAACCGTCTCTCTTGCCTTAGCGTGCAGAGTACACCCAGCCGGCAAAGCTGAGTCACATTCCATTGCCGCACCAGTTTGGCGGTGGTCTACTTGAAATAGTAGGAAGACACGCTGTGAAGTTCAACACATATTCAAATACATCTGCGGCTGCGCCCGTAACATTGCACGGCTCAAGGGTACGTCATCAGCCGACGTGAACGTGACCCGCTGCTCTGGTGATCCGAAACCCAGAAGGAGGCCAGAAGTGGCCTCGCTGTGCCATCCCATACTACGTACTCCCGCGACTCGTCTCGAGACTGCTGCTTCTCGGACAGCTCGCACCTGTGCCGGCAATATCAGCTCGCAATCCACGAGGTCTCTGTTTGGATAATTCTAGGCAAAACTTGAGGACTACAGTCCGTGCGTCGGTGGCGGAGGGTCGGTAGTAAGGAACTTCAGAACCGGAATACTACCGTATCGTTTTTCAACCGTAACAGAAGATAAAACATGTGTTCCAAGATGCTTCTGGTGGTTCACTATTCTCAAAAATTCCAAATGACACTGCATTCACGATCTTCAGCGAAGTAACCTACAACGAAAGTACGTATTGTCCTTTCATGCAGCAGCGTGGTATGGTTTCATGTTCAAGGCCACACCTACAGATAAAGAATACTATAGTTCATTCCACCGTGACATCATGTGATCAATGTTGACAGGATTCCCTCGTCAGACAGACAGGATGTCATGGAAGGGACCGCGGTCAGCCCTTGATGGAACGTTTTTTTGGGCCCATTGAAGACTCCTTGTCGTCCGAAACCACTACCTTCAAGGCAAAGTGCCAAGCCTACAGGAAAGTAATGTCGGGATCGAAAACATCCACTTCAAACTTCAAGCTTAATCTCAGCTGGCGTCTCAAAAAAATTTCGAAAATGTATTGCACTATCAGTATTTCTGTATTTGTATTTCTGCACTCCCTAAAATGTATTGCTGTATTTGTATTTCCAAATACTTTTTGCCTCTTTTTAAAATGTATTTCCGATACGTATCGCGATACATTTTTACAGATGTATCTTAGTATCAGTATTTTAGCTACTATTTTAATGTATCCCAGTATTTGTATTTCCAAATACATTTTTGAGTATTCCTGCCCAACCCTGCACTCTACAGACCAAGGCCTATAAATGGTCGTCATTAGATTTTCAACCTGAAAACTAACAGGATAACAAAACAAGACCAACAAAAACCTTTTTTCACAGTTCCTTCAAAACGCTGCTTTTCAGTATGAAGGTTCCGAGAATGCTAACACAGGAGATATTCATAATAGAAAATGCAAGTAAAAAAAAAAAAAAACAACGGCAGGAACTGACGACTTAAATTTTGCATATTGCAAGACTTAACGGGAAACTAAAGCTGTTCTGTATTTGAGGAAGAACACCAAAATCGTCTTGATATGGCCTCCAGGATCACGAATATCGAGTTCATTTTTTCAATCTGGTGCATGGAGAAGCAGAAATTAATTTCTAAAGTACAGCTCAAGCCCCTCCTTCCCGGGGCGTGACGTCATGCTGGGAGTTTTCGGAAAATTGAATTTGTAAAAAGGTCAGAAATAGACGCCACAACTGGCGTCAGTGTGGAAAAATACAACTAGCAAGCTTGCAATTGCACGCGCCGCCCACACGAGCGACACGTGCTTGGCGCCCCAAAGATCCTAGTACGACGTCACGGCTGCTCTGAGGTTTTTCGTGTTTTCTCGCGTCTAGTTACACCTCCGGGGAAAACGAAAACGAAAGCGATATTCAGATTCACAGGACAAAAATACGCCAGAAGTCACCTATAACTCGTTTTTTTGTCCAGAAGTGTTTCAGTTTCCCTTTAATTGTCAACATATTTCAAAGATTGTGCTTGTCTATTGAGCTCCAATAGAGATACCATCAATTTAATAGCTAGTAAAGAATTTGCATTACCGATGACCACCTTACACATCATGGCGTCCTTGAACCTTGACTTTCCTTGGTAGCCCGGAAGGGCCGGAGAACTGCTCCTGGACTTGCTTTGAGAACAGGCGTCCCACCATCTCTCGCACCACCTTCTGCAGGTTCTTGCTGTCTCCTAGAGACACGAGCTGCCCCTCCTAGAAAGACAAAATGTGTTCTCAATATGTCAATAAAGTTATTTATATGCAGATACAATGGTATGAACATGTCTCAAGTAAGAGAATGTGAATGCCCAGGTAAATGCAGCAAGCCACACTATATATATGCATCAAAATTTTACAATATTTACTAGAGAGAGAATAAAAAATATTAGAATATATGGCAACTCTACTTGTCTTAGACGAAACCAGA